AGTCCCTCGGCCCTTAAAGGGGAAAGGTTGCCTACCCCTGAGTTCATCCATCCATCCATGCTGCTTTCTGCAGAAGGCAGGAGAGATAAAGCAAGAGCAGAGAAATGGCAGATCATGGGATGAAATGCGGACCTCATTTTGCACCCCCCAAAGCTTCTCAGAGAAACCTGAAGCCCTCAGAAAACTAAAAATTGCTCAACCTCCTCATCCAAACTGCCACAAAACATGATGCTTTGGGTACACCTTGCTCCCAACTACCAGCAAACTCTCTCCAAAACATGAGGTTCGGTGGTATTTAAGTCAAGTCCCAGAGCCAGAAGCGATGTGGCATCATTTCTTCTGGGGCTGGAGGACAATGGTGCAGATTTTCAAGGGGAAAAAATGTCCCCTCTGCAATAGTCCATCCCTGAAATGGAGAGAAAGGAGATCCTGGGAAGAGGATGAATGGAGAGGACTAGAAGCATGAAGGTGCAAAGAAGGTGAAGAAGAGAAAGAAGATGGATCTGGGTCAGGAGACCCATCCTCACGTCTCCTCTGAGCACTATCTTCATCATGAGAAGCCAAGCTCTAAAAGCAACCTCACTTTCGCATTGCAGTTTTCTCTCCCTTTTATTACAAGTTCTGGGACCAAGGACTCAGCCTTCCTAAGCCAAGAAAGCTTGCTGGGCAAAATAGTAGAAAATTACGACTTGTTCCAACGCGTTTAGCAAGGCAGACGCTCATTACAACTGCCATCTTTTCAAAGCTGGAGAGAAGCAGGGTTGATATACCCATTTTAAAACTGAAGTGGAGAAGTTGTTGTTATTATTATTATTATTATTATTATTATTTTATTTGAAGCTTTTCATTTACCTCTTTCAGTTTGTCAGTAAGGACTTTGATTTCCTCTTCATACTTGTCTTCCTTTTGGGAGTACTGTGGGACAAAGAAACCAACAGCAGGCATGAATCTCTGGGCGATTTTAAAGAAAAGTGTCACTCTAGTGTTCTTGGGATTAAGTCAGAGCTGGAGAAAGCTTTTGGACTTCAGCTCCCAGCATCCCCACACCTGGTATTCTTGTGACTGTATGTTAAAAGTCAGAGCCTGGGGAATATTTTGGACTGCCGACTCACAGAATCCCACATCCAGCATGTCCACTAGCCATTGTGGGTAGGGGATTCTGGATGTTGTAGTCCCCAAAAGTAACTCTTCCTGGATTCTCCAAGGTCCTAGTATCCATCCAAAAAGGCAACTTTTCCAAACTCTAATTTAGGTCCACTAAAAAAAGATGCTTGGGAAAAATCTAGCAAATTCACAATACCTGATGTAACTGGCCATACTTCCTCAAAGAAGTCCAAATAGACATCGGTTGGAGAGTTTTAACTATACAGGTTGAATCTCCCTTATTCAGAATTCCAAAATCCAAAATATTTAAAAAAACAAAACTTTTTTCCAGTTCAGTTCTTTGTACCTCTATTTCAAAGGTTCTTAAACAGAGTTTGGAAAAGTTGCACTTTTTGGACAACAACTTCCAGAATCCCTCTGTAGCATTACCAGTGGCTAAGATGGGTTGGGGACTCTGGGATTTGTCATCCTAGCTGGCTGAGGGAATGCTGGGATTTGGAAAAGTAACTTCTCCAAACTCTGAGTTGAAATATCTGGATTATGAAAAAGCCTCTGCCCAAGATTTTAGTTGGCAACAGCCCTCCAAAGCACAAAGCTAAGGAGACCAAGAATAAAGCCACATTCACAGATCCATACTGTATTTCTTATTCATTGTGGCTGCATCTGCACTGCAGAAATAATGCAGTTTGACACTGCTTTAACAACTGCCATGGCTCAATGCTATGGAATCCTGGGATTTGTAATTTTGTGAGATATTTAGCCTCCTCTGTTGTGGTGCCACAACAAAGTACAAATCCCAGGTTTCCAAAGCATGGAGCCATGACAGTTAAAGCAGTGTCAAAGTGCATTAATTCTGCAGAGCAGATTCAGCCTGTGCTGGAAAAGATCATTTTCAGAGATAATGGTTGCAAAGGTGACTCAGAAGCACTGGAAATAATTAGCAGCTAAGCTTGCTTTCTGGGGAAGCGAGTCCCTTTCCAATAGAGGGAAGAGGACTTACTCCCGAGTAAACACTCTGCGGACTGGGTTGCAAAACCCATCATGTTGCATTTGCACCGTACCTTCTCCGCCTGAGCTTCCAGCGACCTCAGATTGTTGGTCACAGTTTTCAATTCCTCTTCAAGTTCAGCACATTTGCTATTATTTTGGAACGGAGGCAGGAAAAGAGGGCAGGAGGAAGATCAGTCAAGCATGATAAAAAGGGAGGAAAAAAATAAGGGAGGGAGAAAAGATAGAAAGAGAAAAAAAAATGAAAACTGAATCTCAGAGCTAAAAGGAAGGGCCTCAAAAGCAGCTGAACCGACCCAAGAATTGAAAAGGCCGACCGACTGCAAGGGTTAAAATCAGCCTCAAATTTTAGCCCAATTTTGTATGCCAAAAAGTGTATTTGCTGTGCTCTTAAAAAAACCCAAATTTCTCCAGTCTTCAGGAAGAGTCCTTCATGGATGGTGCCCAAAATGAACACAAAGTTCTCCCATTCCTAGAATGGGAAAAGACTGGAGACAAGGGTCCAAAAGACCACTGCAGAAATAATCCAATTTGAGACTGCTTTAACTGCCCTGGTTCAATTCTAGGAAATTCTGGGAACTGTAGTTTTGTTTCTGTCAGAGAGTTCTGATGCCACAACAAACTACAGTTCCCAGGATTCCCTAGCACTGAGCCAAAACAAAGCGGTGTCAAACTGGATTATTTTTGCAGTGCGTTTTGTCCCCTGGTCAAGCTTTTTGGACTTGATTTCAGAGCCATTGAGCCAAAACCTTTCTACCATTCCCAGGTTGTTCAGCTTCTTTTGGGGACTCAACCAGCTGCAAAAAAGGTTAAAAACACAGAGACACAGACAGAGACACGGACATTCACCCTGGAGACTAAAAGAGGCACTCGAGCCAAATGCAGAAGGAAAAAAGGGAAAAAGCAGAGCGCAAGGAGAACACAGCCGCTACGGCTAACAGGCGTCTAACTAGCTGGTTAGGAGAGCTGGGAGGTTTGGGTGGCAGCTAAGAGTCAACCATTTGGTTCACAGACAGAGAATGTAGACTTGCTCCAGTACCTTCTCCTCTGCAGCCATTAATGCTTTCAGCGTTTGATCCATTATCCTTAGCTGTTCCTCCAGCTGTCGGACTTGGCTGTTAGTGGAACACATGAAAATGCACAAGAGCCATTCACAAAAATCAGTGAGCAAAGTCCAAAAGCATGCAAGTGACCCCCCCCCAAAACAATACCAAACAGGAAGACTCCCAAAAGGAACAAGGCGGCAACCACAGGAAGCACACAACCACACATAACCACACACAGCTACTACGTCTCCCCCACTGTGCCGGGCTCATCCAGCAAACCGCAGTTGCCACAATAAAAATAAAGCCCAAGGAAGCTGCCCCAAGCGCCTTGACGGAGGCATGCAAGCAGCCTCGCCGTGAGGAAAGCTGGAATGGCTAAAGCCCCCGTGCGACGGGACAACCACAGCCCCTTACCTTTCTGAAAGTTCAGCCCTTTCCTCCGCACGCTCCAGGTCGCTCTCAATGATCACCAGCTTACGAGCCACCTGTACGGCGGAGGGAAACAAGGGTCAAGTTGCAAGAAAGAAGGACTGGGCTCAAGGGGAAGAAGAACGTCCTGGCCGGTAAAAATTGCTGCCTTGCAGGCGGAACAGGTGACTGGAAAAGGGCACAGATTCTTCCTCGGCTGCATCTCCACTGCAGAATTAATGCAGTTTGGCACAGCTTTAACTGCCATGGCTTAATGCTATGGAGCACTGGGATCTGTAGTTTGTTGTGGCACCAGAGCTCTCCAAGAGAGAAGGCTGAATGTCTCATAAAAACTGCAAATCCCAGTATTCTGCCAAACCAGGCTCATGGAGAGATCTCTGGATCCAGAATTCAGCTAAAGCAGGGCCATGGAGAGATCTACAGATCCAAAATTCAGCCAAAGCAGGTCCATGGAGA